CATGGTCGTGATATTTGGCATGAAATGGCCGTCCTGGATATGGCCTATATGATCGTGCATTGAGCATTAACTACCTTAACGGCTTATGGGAGGCTATCAATAAAGACCATCGATAATAAAATACTTCCCCTTTTTTAGATAATCAAAAACCATCTCATAAACTAAAAACTATTCTAATCAATCCTGACGATGAATATCATTCAACATTTCCCTTCTAGGTATTTCGTCGTCAGGATTTTTTATACGCATTTTTAAGCTATGATTTCTCCTTCAAAAATTATTTCTTAGTAAAGAGGCTTAAACCAAGGTTCCAGCTCAAGGTAACAAGCAATTACAAATTAATTATGATTAGCTTTCTTTGCCTAGATACCTGGTACAAGGTGGTTTCACTTCTCAATAATTCATGCCTGTTTCTTTGTTAATACCTTAAAATTGGTTGGCAGCTTGAGTGATTTGGCTTTTGTGCTTGTTACTACGGATTAATGATAGGTATTCAAAAATGCCCTAACTTGCCACGGCCAGCTTAATTTACGGCAAAAGATGGCGAATTTTGACTAGCAGTCAGGCTTATGCGCAATAGTTTTACCCACATAAATAACCTCATAGTTAATTGAACCATGAGGTTGATTTATTTTCTTATTTACAAAGTGTTTTTAGAGACTACGATCAACTTTTTTCAAACCGTCTCGTTAGTTTCATTGAAATGCCGTTTTTTACCATGACGATCTATTACCGGATCATTCAAATCGTTTAAATCACGATTATTTGTGTTAGGCGATAGCCAAGCACTGATAAAAGTTACTGCTGAAAAGAAGATCATCATCAGTGCCAGTGGCCACCAACTCCCCAGAGCCATTCCTACCAGCGAGGCAGCTATCACAGGGCCAAATCCGGTAGCAAAAAGACCAGCAATCTCTTTTGCTAATGATGAAAAAGTCATCCGGTGAAGCGATCCAAATAGTTCAGGAATCATGATATTCTCCAAGGCAAATAAATCTTGCACACCAACATTTAACCCGATAATCATGGCGATTGTAATTAACAGAGTGTTTCTAGTACTAATTAATAGCATCATTGGGATAGCAAATATTGCCATCGCGCCCGACAAAATTAGGTACATCGTTCTTCTACCAAACTTATCTCCTAACCAACCGACAAAAGGAATAGTGAAAAACGAAATGATTGATGCAATCATATTGGCATCAGTTGGAACAGTTCGCGCAACAGAAAGATAAGTGACAAGAAAAGCTGCTAAATATGTTTGCATTAGACCACTGTTACCGGCCTGACCAAATCTTAACCCACCAGCTAAAACAAGTTCTTCATCGAAGATTAAAATTAGTATGCTCAGCTTTTTTCAGAGCTTGTTCTTCATTTTCCTTGTTGCTTGTGTCTTTTTCTGCTTGTTCTGCTAATTCTTCGCGTAATTGAGCCAATTCTTTCTTTTTTTGTGCCATTACTGGACTCTCTTTAATAAAAAGTCGAATTAAAATGGCAGCAATCATAACCACAAATGAAGCATAGAACGGTATTCTCCAGCCCCATGTTAACAGTTGTGCATGGGTGCAATGCGTTAAAATTATTGTCCAAATGCCATTGGCAATTAGTGTTCCGGTGGAAGTGCCAAGCAGACGAAACTACCGACAAATCCCCGGCTCTCTTTTTTCGCAAATTCAACTGTCATGATGCCCGCACCACTAATTTCTGCACCAGCACCGAATCCCTGAATGATCCTTAG